TTAGCTGCAGTTGATGTGTATGACGGCTGCGTGTGGGCTTTGGGAAACGCAGTCAAACACTTCTACGGTTAACAGCATCTTGCATATCGAGATGTATGAGCCTCTCGCCTTTTTTGGGATCATCACCGTAACAAGTTTTCATCAGAAATTGGGCTAAATTTCATTAACGAAATACATTTTGCATTTTGCTTTTCCTTCATATGGCTTCTTTAGCTTGCCTGAGAAAGAAGAAAAAGGAGGGCTTGGGAAGGAAAGAAGCGAATCCCGCTATACTGATGGGACTCCCAGTCAAGTCACGAACGATTACTTTTTTTCGTTACACGGGCGAGATTTTCGATGTCATCATATAATTTCAGGAAAATAACGCGATTGTGAATGTTGGGAAGTCATCGCAATCACCGAAAACAGTTACTCCAAAAGCAACCACTCATATTCCGTACGGTTTGCCATGTGTCCGCGAACTGCTTAGGTTAGTTTGCGGTTTCTAATCAATTCATTGAGCTTGCACGATTTTTATGCGTTTTTGCATATTTATGCAAATGCAAGAACACATATTGTCAAGAAGTTGTGTGTTTATTTAAGGTTAAGTGGAAATTTTGCTGAAAAACGTAGGAATGAATGATAGAAAAGGTAAAAAAAGTAAAAAAGGGGAAGATGTAAAAAAGAAGTATTGAATTAGGTAAGAAATGTTTCGGTCAATTATGTTTATGCATGTATATGTAGGTTTTCGAAGGCTACTGAACCTTGTCCATTCACTTTCAACTCAGCAGCCGGGAAGGCTAGGAAACTGAAATTTTAGGATCGCGTTCCCATCCTACATTTTATTCTTAGAACCCGAATTCATCGCTGGCGTGCGTACGCCTTGCTGTTATGCGCGGATGCCTAAAAGAGGACGTGTTAATTTTATGATGAGAAAGAATTTTGGGAACCAAACAGAATAGAAAGTTGAAATTTCACAAGGATATTCTCTATGCATATGTGAGCTAAAAATTTTAGCTTTAGTTATCACTTACACAGATAAATGGGCAGGATTTTGCTCGCTTTCCTGTCGTGAACACCAGTGAATGGGATCCATAAGAAAGTAAATGACAATCGGGTGACTTCCAAAAATGTGGCACAAATATATCGAAAGGGCAAGGGTACTGAATTGACGTGTCTAGTTCGAGGTTGAAGGGCACAAGTAGCTGTGTCTGGCATGGGATCAACTTCACCTTCGATTTTTTGAATCTCTCTCACCCAAATTTCATGTGGGCACTTGAGTGATCTAGGCTCAGATGCTCTTGATATTCACTGAACGGTGTCGATCTTTTTTTGTAAAATATCGAAACCAACGGTCAACTTAAATCAATAAAAATATTAGGTTTTGGTCAAAATTTAAAACCTCAGAATAATACTGTTACGTTCCTTGTTACTTTTTTTTGATCAATAGTTGTTTTATCTTTGTCTTTTCCATCGCGATTAATAATGGTATCAGTTTAATCTTCGCTTTTTTTGAGCTTACCCCACTCAAATTCTATGTGCATACTAAAGTAGACCTTTTTACTGCATTTGCATCTCTCTCTCTTTCACTTACATTGCGGTTTTCCCGCCAAAACTTTTGCGTGCTCGTACGCGGGGATCAGACGTGCAAGAGAGTCGATATCGCAGCCCTGAGGTGGCACTTGGCTGGGGAACACACTGGCAAAATTTCAGCTTCAAAGCCTGCGTGGTTGGCGAGTCGAAATACCCGGGCTGGGTACCATTCTTACTAATCTGTTTTGTACTTCTCTTGCCTCATTCATGCCCCATGATCAGTCCGAATACGTTTCTTCCTGGCATATGTTCCGAATGTTATTTTTTAATTAAGTGGAATTCAAGGTTTTTAATCGCTCTGACAAATCCGCTGGATCGTGCGAACACCGAATCGATGATATTGATGGCATTAAATTTGCTAACGGTTGCATTGGAAGCCGGTGCCGATTATATGCAAAGTTTCTCCCTTCTGATGCCGCTGATCAAGAATGAATTGTGTCGCGCTCTTCTACAGGTATCCTTGCACAGAAAGGATCTAAAATTGCATGTATATAGGGAAAAAACAAAAAAAGTGCCCCCCTCCCCCTCCCCTCCGTCCTCCAAGGATGGTAGCTTTATGTGAAAGATTGCAAAATTAGAAGAGACAATCCTTTTTTAGAACTTTTTTTTCTTTCCCGAATCATCAAATTTTAAAACTGTAAAAAACTTCATATTTTAAGCGGAAACAGATGATG